ATCGCAAGGAATAGTTTAATTTGATATTATTATATCCCTAAGAGAATTATGAATGATAACTTTGAGGACTATTTATGGACTAATATGATACGTATATTTTCTATTGTATAATTGTTAAGTAAATTAACTATCCATATTCATGTTCCTTTTATTATGAGATGTATTTTGACCCATAGACTATTACTGTGCTACTTACTATTCCTCAGCTATGCCCAGTCTATTAATTACTTTTCCCCCTATTCACGGCCACATTAGGCTAAATCTTGTACAAATGTTATTTTCTAATTTATGGTACAATGTGGTCAGTTTGTTTGGTATATAAACCCAGTATGTTTGAGAATAATGATTCATATTGCAGAGGCTGTTATTGGTGTTCTGGACGTAACTGGCTGGGGATAGGCAGAAAACAAGTCTGATAAATACTCAAGACTACTCATACGACTTTTGTTTATCATTGGGCGATCAATAAATTCACTGCTCTCTAAATGGGCGGCCTTATCACGTCATATGTATCAACTGGGCACTCACTCAAGCAATCGATATAACAAATATCATTCATTTGTAGAACTTCACAATGACTATTATTCAAATTAACTAAGAATTTAATCAACTAAATCGATTATAATGAAGAAGAAAAAAGATCATATTCACAACATTTACAAGTTTTATAAGACCTTTTGTCTAAATTTGATCTAAACGTTTCATAGTATTTTGAGTAAATCTCCTTGAAAAAGCTTTGACCAGATTGTCAGGTGAAACGTACGATTTACTTCAAATTCATTCACTGAGATTTTATAAATACATTCTTCTTCATTCAGTTATAGGTTTTCATAATAATAAATCAACATAATGAATGTTAAATATGATTTTTATTCAATCAATCATTGTAAATATTTAGGCTGTTTTCAACTGACTAGAAGCTTTGAGCTAAAATAAATTCACTTCAATCTAATTTTCCTATTAACCGTGATCTGTTTACAGCTATCAATTTATCCGTTGAGATTAGAGCTTCAATATTCGATTGCTTATTTATTTAGTAAATTTTATGTATTTATCACTTACAGTTCTATTAAATGATGAGTAATTTTCTATCTACAATAATTCACTTTTGTATTGATTGTTTAAATCTTCCCATTGATGTTAAGGATTGCAATTGATCAGTCTCTTATTGGATGCAGTTATATCCAGATGACGAGTCCCACATAGGACGAAACACGCGTCCTGGATTCCACAATCATCTCTGCTAATAAAATATCTACAATGGTGTTTTGTACTAATGGGTGTCCTTGAACATAATGTAATCTAAAATAAGATCACTATTAAGAACGTGCTTCATAAATAATTGTCACATTTATTTTTTACTGGTACAGAATTCATGATATTGAATTCTTTAAACTTTTAAAATTCATAGATGATTAAATTTGACTGACTGAACTGAATGTTCCCATTGAAAAAAACGTATTGAAATAATTCATTATGTTTATAAAGCTAACATTTGGATACTATACAAGTAATATTTTTTCGTTTCAGATAAAGCAAGTGACTCACTATGTCTCTGTAGAAGAACTAAAGTCTATTCATCAAAGAATAGTTCTCTCTTTAACAGTGTCTTAAATATGGCCTAATACTTCCCAGAGCATAAAATATTTAAAAATTTACTGCATAATATATGAACTACCATTTCATTGTCAAATGATTGCTTTATTTTTAAGATACATAATATACTACTTACTTAGTTAGAAGTAACCTAAAAATGAAGCTGATACTTTTTGCAGTCAGTGTTACAAAACATGATGAAACATACAATTTAAATTTCTCTGCTCAATATTTTTTAGGCATTTAGTAGTATCACTGAGCATTCAAACGTGTCTAAAAATGGCTAGAAACTGATAGATAATAGCTGGTCAGAAGTGGTTGAGAAATAAATCAGGTGATTTCGGTTACTGTAATTCACCTTTGATGATGCAATCACACTAAAATGAAATCCATGTCTGTAAAATGATAATTCAGACAATTCGTATGATTAGAAAGTAAATTATTACTTAAATGCATTAATACTGAATATTTACACTTCTAAGCCTTGTCAAGACATGTGATAATAAATAATTAGTACGGTAAATTCCTAATTGTAGCAAACAACATAGAAAATTTTTAATTACTACAAAGCTGGTGACTCACAGATAGTAGACTCATGTCTCAAATGTCAGCAAAACTAAATAAAATAAAAAAGTACTGTAATTTAGACCTATGTTCGATGCAGTAAAAAGAAACTTCTCACAATTTGTGGATAGGTCCTACCATTGACTGTTATATATAACAATAAAGTGCCGGGAAGCTATTCTGTACTAGTTTGGGATTCCTCGGAAGTACGCTCACACAACACAAGAACAGTTTAACCCTGGATCCACGAGCATGATGTATGCGCACGACAAATGAATCACACCTTAAATATCATTCATTGTGTAATGCATAGGTATTCCCATCCAGTAGCTTAGATGAATTACATAGTAGATGTCAACGGGTATAAATCATAGCCTCGACTATATTTTCCGGAAATCTATCTTTAACATATTTGTATATGAGTGCATAATTTTTATTTGCTTGGACAGTGCTTTACTTCATAAAGTAAGAAATTGAATAATGGTAATCAATAATTTCTATTTTGTACACATTTAAGACCTAAATCTTAATTTTAATTTACCACACTTAATTTAACGGAATTAAGAAGTGATAATGGAACAAATCGTGGTCATTATTTTACATAAAGGTAACCACAGAATACTATTGAATAAATTATGACTTACCAAATAATTTGAGGTAAATGAGAATATTTTTATACCTTCATAACGAAACTTTAAATATTTATTGAAACTGTTTGAAAATTACTTTAATATGAAAGTAAATACAATTGAAGGAAGAACATTTTTTTTCGACGAATTCTCATCAATTTCTGAAGTTATAAGTTTTCTTAGGGGGATAAATAGTGAAGACGCCTTTATGGGAAACAAAATTTTTTCAATATTAAGGTATGAAATGATTTTTGTCCGTACTATAAGTTGGTTAACCTTTGTAAACATTGAAATACATGAGCTGCACATTTAGAAGGGTGGATTCAACACCTTAATTTTTGGCTGACTGAAGAACTAATAAGCTAATATTCATCTCTCTATTAAAAATTATGCAGTACTCTTCGTGTACATGTCTTCTTTTTCTCCAAATCATCAAAACCCAAAATTATTTGACTTAACTATTTTGGTTCTTACACATTTTAATAATCCGTTTACTATTCACCTTAATCATTATTTCTTATTTAATCCATGTTATTCCATTCAACTCTTACGTTTTAATGTACACATCTTAAATAGTAGCCTGTAATTTTCATTTTTCAATAATGTATCTGTTTTAAGCTTTAGTAAATATCTCTTTACTCATGTTCACCATTAGAATCATGAAGTAATTGTGCATTATAACGGAAACATCTTAAAACTAAGATGGATAGCATGTGATAATCTAGTGACAGAAAGTTCAATTACAGTCCCATAGTTCACCGATTTAGTTACAAGATTATGATCAAACACAAACCAAATGACATTGGTTTGACCAATGAATTTTGATAAGCTCACTACTGGCTTTAAGGTTAATCAAGTCATATTTGACACTACATTTTTTTGACACGTGATCTAGCAAGTCAGTAGCCTGAATCACAAGTTCCTCTGATAATCAAAATAATTGGAGATGATTTTTGAAACAGTGATTCTGAAAGTAGATATCTTGGTTCAGAGTATAGATGATGAATGAGATCTTGTGCCAATGATCCAGTTGGGTTTTGTAATACCAAAAACATGACAACACTAATCTTGCCAATAGATGTATTAAAAAGCTTTGATTGACGATAGGCCTAGTCAGTGATCGTTAAGTAAAATTCCAAAAGATGAGATTGTTCATAGCGCGTTAGTTATTTAGATCAAATTATACCAATGCTTCTTTACGTAATAATTTCTATCCCAATTTCTCAATCCAATAAAGATGACTTTTAAGACAAGCGATATTCTATGAGTTACTGTGCTTAGAAAATCAATTCTCATGCAACAAGCATTACATGTTATTAGGCCTATAATTATTTGAACATTTCAAGATATTATATCTACGCAACTGGAGAAAATGTGATTTCTTTAGAATCCAGTTATAGAATAACAAATCTACTTAACTATCTCAGATTCATTTTCAACATTAGTAACTACCAAATATATATATATATATATATATATATATATATATATATATACAAAGTTCTTGCAACATTAATAATCTTTATACCTCAAAAACTGATCAATATTAATATAAACAAGAGTCATTTAAAACAGTTTCTAAACAAACTAACAATCTTATATAGCTGAAATCATGAGTCGATTTAAGCTAGACCATCATGGAAAACCTAGGAGCACTGGATGACCATATTGTCTTATTGTGGGACTCCTCAGCAGTGCGCATCCACGATCCCGCCTTGCGAGATTCGAACCCGGGACCTATGAGTCTTGTGCTTGAGCACTTAATTGAATTTTCATGACATTTTATTAAACAATCTATCATCGTATAATAATTTTGTTATATTTATTAAAAGTAACTACTCTAATTATGGCTGAATAAATAATTAAAAACTTCTATTAAACATGTTTATTAAATCAAAGATGGATAGTGGCTAGCAGTGGAATCCAGGACGCGCATTTCGTCCTACCTGTAACTCGTCAGCTGAATGTACCTGCATCTGAGTTGATCTTTACTCTGGGACTTGAACCCAGTACCTTTCACTTCTAACGTCATCGCGTTATCCACACAACTAATGAATCCTAATAGCCAATTGCTTGTGCAATGGGGTGAAGATTAAATTCACTTTGTATTGTTTGTTTGAATCTTCCCATTGATGACTGACCAGTTGTAGTTCTAAACATCAATGGAAAGATTCAAACTAACAATATTTATTATATATTTAAAACTCAATCTTTATTCAATAATACATTTATTTTTAATTTGTTCAAATATTATAAAAAGAAAATAAGCATAAAATTAATTAATAATTAATTAAACATTTAGAAAAATTTCTTTTTTTTTCGGTTGTTGTTGTTATTTTGGTTACATTTTATAACTGAGCAACAATTACATCATAATTATTCAGAAAAAAAAAAGAAAGGTAATCGATTATTGATCACAAAAAAATTTGTTTATTTTTACAGGAAACGACGATAATAATAATACCCCCCTCCGAAAAGCATTTACTTACAAAGAATAAATTTGTCAACAAATAAAAGTTTACAGTAAAAATATTATATTAATCATTAGTTATTCTGTTTATGAAATAAATAAAGAAAAAAAAGTATTTTAATTGTTTAAATCACTATACTAAATGATTATTACTTGTTAGCTTAAATCTGATATGTATATACTATCTAATGATATCATTAGGTATAATAAATACTTAATTATATTTATGTAAGTACTTAATGTCTGCCATGCTACTACTACTACTATTACTACCACTAGTAGTATTAGTAGTACTAGTAGTAGTAGTAGGAGGAGAAGGAGTAGTACTAGTAGTAATAGGAGAAGGGGTAGTAGGAGTAGGAGTAGGAGTAGTAGGAGTACTAGTCAAGGTTCAAAATTTCATCAGAAATGATTAAAAATACTATCAATGAAGTGAAATGAAATGAATACTTATTAAAAGAACTTTCAATTGAATGTAATGGCATATAGAATCAATATATGTAATTTAGAGCTTACAGTTTTATGTTTGCAAACAAAACAAAATACATATGTATGAAATCATTTAATCCTAATTTTCATCAATATATTTCCAAGCCTTTGAATTTCTATTAGGTTTATTCATATTCATATCTTGATAGTGAGATGAAGTTTCATTATTATCAATGAAATTCGTAATATTTATAGATGGCACCACTGGAAGTTCATCTTCTCTATCATTAATTTGTTCAGCAGTATTTATTCTATTTTGATTTGTTTGGCTTTTTCTATCACCGCTATCACTGCTTTGTCTGCGCCAAGCACCAGTTAATATAACATCATTATCTAGATTGGAAGTTAAACAGAGACGTTCTGGGCTGGGAGATTTAAAAGTAAAACCACAATCACATGAAGAACAGTCATCAGTAGAAAGTAAAGCTTCATGAGCTAATATTTTAGCTTTTACATGTTGCTTTCTTCGAAGTTCAAGACGTTTCTGTAGTGCAGGTGTTTTCATTGAATTGGTAGATTTATTACCTTTGCTTTCATTAACTAGTCCTTCTGCAGCTGTGAATGAATCATGTTTATTGTTTCTAGATTGAAATCTACTTCTTTTTAAAGAGGTATTTTGTACATTTTTTTCGTTTTCTTCAATATGTGTCAGAGTTATACTGCCAGAATATTTGTTACGTCGATGCCGAATCCAAATGAGAATTAGAACTGTGGACAGAACTAACATAATGATCAGAATACACAATAAAATTAAACCGACTGTTAAACCATGTTTAAATTCAAACCTATTATGCTCATGAATATTAAGTCCACTAATATGTATATTGATATTTCTGTTCCTTGGTATACCTGATATAAACGTAGGCAAAGGAACTTTCTCCTTACTATCCAACACTTCATTGCTTATAGATTTAATGATTCCACCAACCGGACGTCGATTAAAACCAATGTCATCATCAAGAGAAGTAGTGGAAGGAACAGTTGATAATAACAACTTATCAGTTAAAAAAAAATCAGTAGTGTCAGAGAAAGATCCGAAATTATTATTCGAGGCAGATGATAAACCTTCAGAAACACTACCTTCTAAATTCGAAACACCAACAGATGACACATCTGTAGGTGGGGGTGCAGGGACAGTGGTCACTTCCTCAAACACTGGAGTTTCTGGAATCGAGTCTGCAATCACTGACACATCTGTAGGTGCGGGTGCAGGGACAGTGGTCACTTCCTCAAACACTGGAGTTTCTGGAATCGAGTCTGCAATCACTGACACATCTGTAGGTGCGGGTGCAGGGACAGTGGTCACTTCCTCAAACACTGGAGTTTCTGGAATCGAGTCTGCAATCACTGACACATCTGTAGGTGGAGGTGCAGGGACAGTGGTCACTTCCTCAAACACTGGAGTTTCTGGAATCGAGTCTGCAATCACTGACACATCTGTAGGTGGAGGTGCAGGGACAGTGGTCACTTCCTCAGACACTGGAGTTTCTGGAATCGAGTCTGCAATCACTGACACATCTGTAGGTGGAGGTGCAGGGACAGTGGTCACTTCCTCAAACACTGGAGTTTCTGGAATCGAGTCTGCAATCACTGACACATCTGTAGGTGGAGGTGCAGGGACAGTGGTCACTTCCTCAGACACTGGAGTTTCTGGAATCGAGTCTGCAATCACTGACACATCTGTAGGTGCGGGTGCAGGGACAGTGGTCACTTCCTCAAACACTGGAGTTTCTGGAATCGAGTCTGCAATCACTGACACATCTGTAGGTGGAGGTGCAGGGACAGTGGTCACTTCCTCAAACACTGGAGTTTCTGGAATCGAGTCTGCAATCACTGACACATCTGTTGGTGGAGATGCAGGGACAGTTGTCACTTCCTCAGACACTGGAGTTTCTGGAATCGAGTCTGCAATCACTGACACATCTGTAGGTGGAGGTGCAGGGACAGTGGTCACTTCCTCAGACACTGGAGTTTCTGGAATCGAGTCTGCAATCACTGACACATCTGTAGGTGGAGGTGCAGGGACAGTGGTCACTTCCTCAAACACTGGAGTTTCTGGAATCGAGTCTGCAATCACTGACACATCTGTAGGTGGAGGTGCAGGGACAGTGGTCACTTCCTCAAACACTGGAGTTTCTGGAATCGAGTCTGCAATCACTGACACATCTGTAGGTGGAGGTGCAGGGACAGTGGTCACTTCCTCAAACACTGGAGTTTCTGGAATCGAGTCTGCAATCACTGACACATCTGTTGGTGGAGGTGCAGGGACAGTGGTCACTTCCTCAAACACTGGAGTTTCTGGAATCGAGTCTGCAATCACTGACACATCTGTAGGTGGAGGTGCAGGGATAGTGGTCACTTCCTCAGACACTGGAGTTTCTGGAATCGAGTATGCAATCACTGACACATCTGTTGGTGGAGGTGCAGGGACAGTGGTCACTTCCTCAGACACTGGAGTTTCTGGAATCGAGTCTGCAATCACTGACACATCTGTAGGTGCGGGTGCAGGGACAGTGGTCACTTCCTCAGACACTGGAGTTTCTGGAATCGAGTCTGCAATCACTGACACATCTGTAGGTGGAGGTGCAGGGACAGTGGTCACTTCCTCAAACACTGGAGTTTCTGGAATCGAGTCTGCAATCACTGACACATCTGTAGGTGGAGGTGCAGGGACAGTGGTCACTTCCTCAGACACTGGAGTTTCTGGAATCGAGTCTGCAATCACTGACACATCTGTAGGTGCGGGTGCAGGGACAGTGGTCACTTCCTCAGACACTGGAGTTTCTGGAATCGAGTCTGCAATCACTGACACATCTGTAGGTGGAGGTGCAGGGACAGTGGTCACTTCCTCAGACACTGGAGTTTCTGGAATCGAGTCTGCAATCACTGACACATCTGTAGGTGGAGGTGCAGGGACAGTGGTCACTTCCTCAGACACTGGAGTTTCTGGAATCGAGTCTGCAATCACTGACACATCTGTAGGTGCGGGTGCAGGGACAGTGGTCACTTCCTCAAACACTGGAGTTTCTGGAATCGAGTCTGCAATCACTGACACATCTGTAGGTGGAGGTGCAGGGACAGTGGTCACTTCCTCAAACACTGGAGTTTCTGGAATCGAGTCTGCAATCACTGACACATCTGTAGGTGCGGGTGCAGGGACAGTGGTCACTTCCTCAGACACTGGAGTTTCTGGAATCGAGTCTGCAATCACTGACACATCTGTAGGTGGAGGTGCAGGGACAGTGGTCACTTCCTCAGACACTGGAGTTTCTGGAATCGAGTCTGCAATCACTGACACATCTGTAGGTGGAGGTGCAGGGACAGTGGTCACTTCCTCAGACACTGGAGTTTCTGGAATCGAGTCTGCAATCACTGACACATCTGTAGGTGGAGATGCAGGGACAGTGGTCACTTCCTCAGACACTGGAGTTTCTGGAATCGAGTCTGCAATCACTGACACATCTGTAGGTGGAGGTGCAGGGACAGTGGTCACTTCCTCAGACACTGGAGTTTCTGGAATCGAGTCTGCAATCACTGACACATCTGTAGGTGCGGGTGCAGGGACAGTGGTCACTTCCTCAAACACTGGAGTTTCTGGAATCGAGTCTGCAATCACTGACACATCTGTAGGTGGAGGTGCAGGGACAGTGGTCACTTCCTCAAACACTGGAGTTTCTGGAATCGAGTCTGCAATCACTGACACATCTGTAGGTGCGGGTGCAGTGACAGTGGTCACTTCCTCAAACACTGGAGTTTCTGGAATCGAGTCTGCAATCACTGACACATCTGTAGGTGGAGGTGCAGGGACAGTGGTCACTTCCTCAGACACTGGAGTTTCTGGAATCGAGTCTGCAATCACTGACACATCTGTAGGTGCGGGTGCAGGGACAGTGGTCACTTCCTCAAACACTGGAGTTTCTGGAATCGAGTCTGCAATCACTGACACATCTGTAGGTGGAGGTGCAGGGACAGTGGTCACTTCCTCAGACACTGGAGTTTCTGGAATCGAGTCTGCAATCACTGACACATCTGTAGGTGCGGGTGCAGGGACAGTGGTCACTTCCTCAAACACTGGAGTTTCTGGAATCGAGTCTGCAATCACTGACACATCTGTAGGTGGAGGTGCAGGGACAGTGGTCACTTCCTCAAACACTGGAGTTTCTGGAATCGAGTCTGCAATCACTGACACATCTGTAGGTGCGGGTGCAGGGACAGTGGTCACTTCCTCAAACACTGGAGTTTCTGGAATCGAGTCTGCAATCACTGACACATCTGTTGGTGGAGGTGCAGGGACAGTGGTCACTTCCTCAAACACTGGAGTTTCTGGAATCGAGTCTGCAATCACTGACACATCTGTAGGTGGAGGTGCAGGGACAGTGGTCACTTCCTCAGACACTGGAGTTTCTGGAATCGAGTCTGCAATCACTGACACATCTGTAGGTGCGGGTGCAGGGACAGTGGTCACTTCCTCAGACACTGGAGTTTCTGGAATCGAGTCTGCAATCACTGACACATCTGTAGGTGGAGGTGCAGGGACAGTGGTCACTTCCTCAGACACTGGAGTTTCTGGAATCGAGTCTGCAATCACTGACACATCTGTAGGTGGAGGTGCAGGGACAGTGGTCACTTCCTCAAACACTGGAGTTTCTGGAATCGAGTCTGCAATCACTGACACATCTGTAGGTGGAGGTGCAGGGACAGTGGTCACTTCCTCAGACACTGGAGTTTCTGGAATCGAGTCTGCAATCACTGACACATCTGTAGGTGGAGGTGCAGGGACAGTGGTCACTTCCTCAGACACTGGAGTTTCTGGAATCGAGTCTGCAATCACTGACACATCTGTAGATGCGGGTGCAGGGACAGTGGTCACTTCCTCAGACACTGGAGTTTCTGGAATCGAGTCTGCAATCACTGACACATCTGTTGGTGGAGGTGCAGGGACAGTGGTCACTTCCTCAGACACTGGAGTTTCTGGAATCGAGTCTGCAATCACTGACACATCTGTAGGTGGAGGTGCAGGGACAGTGGTCACTTCCTCAAACACTGGAGTTTCTGGAATCGAGTCTGCAATCACTGACACATCTGTAGGTGGAGGTGCAGGGACAGTGGTCACTTCCTCAGACACTGGAGTTTCTGGAATCGAGTCTGCAATCACTGACACATCTGTTGGTGGAGGTGCAGGGACAGTGGTCACTTCCTCAAACACTGGAGTTTCTGGAATCGAGTCTGCAATCACTGACACATCTGTAGGTGGAAGTACAGAGACTGTATTCACCGCATCATTGTCCTCTGTATCCTTGCCTGTGTTAGTATTATCTATCAATTCTTGTTTCATTTCGACTGTTTCTTCTTCAGGTTCTTCATCTTGTATTTTTTTGATTTCTCTTTTCGCATTTTTTGATTGTGCTCTTTTCTTGATATTATTGTGATAATTGTTTTCAGTTAGTTTATTTTTCGTTTTGTGTTTGTTTTCTACATTCTTGATAGTGTCTTTTTTGATCCGCTGATTTTTTTTGTGTTCATTCTTCTTTTGTATTCTTGTTTGATATATTTTGTTTTTTTGTTTACCTTTTTTATTTTTATTTTCCGTACTTGATTCATATGGATTTAGTGTTACTGAATCATGAGCATTTGATGAACGTTTTCTTCGGTATATTTTTTCTACTGATGTTATGTTATATTTTGTATTGGATAAATGATTTGGAATCATTTCATCACTTGTGTTTCTAGGAATAAAATGATACCTTTTAGAATCAACTTGTTTACCATTTATTTCTTTTATCATTAGTGTAGTAAAACATTCTTTTTTAATACATAAATGATGAATGGAATGATTTTGTTTTGATAAAATTGAATTGTTAATTGCTTGACTTAAATGGTTATTAGTTTTTTGACGTTCATTGGTTAATGAATGGTTACTTCCTTCATTATTATTATTATTATTATTATTATTATTATTATTATTATTATTATTATTAGTAGTAGTAGTAGTAGTAGTAGTAGTAGTATTCATAATATTGTTTTTTATAGTAGTAGAGCCTTGTATTGAAGCAACGTCTTTGAATAACAGCTGATTATCATTATCAGTAATAATATGATTAGGAATAATATTATCAAATAGTTCGTTATTATTATTATTGTCATTATTATTATTATGTAATTGCTTACCCATTATATTGGATAATGTTTTAATATGTTGATGAGCAGCTTCGTCATTTACAATAGGATGTGAATTAATATTAATTGGAAATAATATAAATAATATAACAGTCATTATAATCATTATTTTAATGGATTTTATTCTTTTTAATCGAAGAATCATTTTTAGCGAAAAATTTTCTGATTCTTTTCTTCTATTTCTTTTCTGGTAGAAAGAATTCGACGTTTTATTAAGGTTTCAGTAGTTCAATTTAAAATAGTTGTATAATTAATATTAGACTACTTTTAAATCCATATGAATGTTATTAGAGATTAATCAAATGAAAGACTAAGTCCATATCTGTTAGTTCAAAGTTTTTGTTTCAAACTATATCACTCATTTTTTGGTATACAGATATATATTGGATGATTCGAACATGCTATACCAATAAACTCACTCTTCTAAATCTAAACATTGCGTGGGTACAGATAAATAAGGATATGTTTGTCATATATATATATATATATATATATATATATATATATCAAGTCTATTTCTTTTATATAAGTATAAATATACAAATCAAATTGGACAAATAGTTTTCTCGTACACTTTATACTTATGCATATGTGTAAACATGTATATACACATTGGTGTATTTGTTATAAACATCTAAACGAACAAGATTTGATAAAAGTATGAATTTCATATATGGTTTTTGTTGTTAATTCCATTCATTTACTAATAATAATAATAATAATAATAATTTGCATCTTAAAAAGTGTAAGCTAGTCATCAATACAATGAAGAAAAATTATCCAAGAAGAAGAAATAAACGTAGACAAGTCTTTAGTGTTGAAGAATAAATCAATTTGCATGTTTTGATTAGCTTAATGACTACATATTTGTTACTTAATAAGTATCTACAAACATAAAACTATTCGTAGATATAATTCTGCATATAATAGTTATTCAATGAGTTTTTATGATTAACAGAGATAGAGGACATTTGAATTATTAGCAATTATTGATGGTACATATTAAATCATTGATTTCTGAAAGGAATACACAGACTGTATTGTAAGACTACGACTATTTATTTCAGAGCTACTGTCTTCACAGGTAGTATTTACTTTAAAAAATATGAATTGTTCAGATTGCACAATGAAAAGTATCGCAAATGCTTGCATCTTACCAATAATACAATTTGAATAAAGTGAGCGTTTCTCGATTGATGTAAACCATCTTGGAATAGCGTGTAGTTGCTTTTGACCATATTTCGAATCTCAAATCCCGAATGAGGATAACTTTTACTCGTGTTAATCATGATGTATCATTACGCTTATCTTAAATGTAAATTTTTTGTAATTAATTTGTATTCAACACATGCGTTACACTTGACATTATTTCTTAACCGGTAAAATAAGTACATGGAACACGGTTTAACCTGGATGCTTAACTTACAAGAATACTTTAGTATTTTTAATTTTCAAGAAAAAATCGAACTGTTTAATTGTCAGATGATAAACAATCATAATTGTCAACACTTAAATAATTAAAAACCACTTGATTTGTAGTGCCTATGTTTAAGAATAATTCAGTCTCAGTTTCTTCGGATACTGTGGACTTTTAACAAACGTATGTTAAATCTTAGTATTTAGACATGATACAGTTAGATACTGTTAGATATAAGAAACATCAAGAGCATATCGTTAATTTGTAGGTAAATGATAAATTAATAAGACACAAATGATTCCTGTTAATGGATAATGATGAGAACAGAATTATGTTTAGTACCAAGACTTATGCAAACTAATTGAAAAAGTGTTAATCCCTGCTTGTTAGATCAACTATATGTTGCTCATTTGCTGTGTAAAGACTTATGAACCCAGTTTCGTGCAAGTTTTCTCATTTATGAATCCAGAAAATAGATCAAGGATAAGGATTGCAGCAGAACAACAAGAGTTCATCTTTTTCGTGGTTTTCCTCCAGATGCTTACAACGTGAAAACGGTCAAACCCTTTGGTCATAGTTTCTCACTAGAACTCCGAAAATCCCCTCTCGAAGCTAGTCACTAGCGAGCACATGACAAACTTCGAGAACGAATTGTAAGAGTTCTGGTGAGAATTCGTTACCAGTGAAGCAAATCCGTGTCGAGTGTTATTCACCGAAGATGGCGGAAAATGTTCGCACAATGTCGCGGACGGATTGAAGGTAAACACTTATATGGTTGGATGTCAGCTAAGTGGTCTAATGGTCAAGTGTTCACGTATGAGGGTGAAGGTCTCGCGTGCCTGATCAGATATGAGCCATGCTGGGGAGTCTCACACTAGGATGAAATGGCTGTCCAATACTTTCAGATTTTTAATGTCGATCTAACATTTGTTGGCTCATGATTTCAGTGAAAATCAACAATCTCCACAACCTTATACCGTTAAATATATTTTCATTAATAAAATAATGATTTTTGGGGGCTTAATAGTGATAAACTTTCCCAAAGTTTATAATCTTTCCTTATGTTTTGTGTAGTGTTCAACTTCAGTAATGTACAAGTATGATTTGTTCATGTACATGCCACTCCAGTACATTGTTCATCTATCGTTAATGTAGAAACATTGTGTTTTCTAAATGAAGTCTTCAAATATTCATAATACTTTTATTATACAGATACTTATCAATATTTTAGCCAATGATTATCAACATATTACGTAACTATTATCCATTTTATTTTAAATTTACTCACAATGTATTAAGGACCAGAAGGATGGATGGCTTCAATTGAAACTGGGTCAAGTTGTTTCACTGAGTGTCTTGGTAGTATAATAGATCAAATGTGTCGTAAATCATCTTATTCAAATTCTGTTAAACTTATCAATTTAAATTATTCAAATAAAAATGTAGCACAAAGTTTTACTTACCAAGTTGTATCAGTTTTGAAGGGGACAATTATACCTTATAGTCTAAGAAGATTTTTGTGGCCTCTGGCATTATTTACAGTAGCCGAATGGACTAGATCAGAATTTGAAAATCCAATTACTTGGAATGGACATAAAATGAGGTAGAATTGATTTCACAGAATTTATTGTCTTTTATAGTCTTTTATGAGGATGATTGTGAATGAATTAAGAATAATGTAATGCAAACAGTCTTGATACTCTACTTTAATTGAGTTAACTGTTATTGAGTCACTTCACTTTTAAAGATTTTCCTAATGCATTAAAATTATAATTCATTAAAATAATTTGTTAATCAACACATTATTAGTTAATTATTGTTGATTTCACATTCATCTGTGAAATCCATTTAGTATCTTACAGATGTGATGAGATTCTAAATGAATATAAAGATTTCTTAATTTGGTTTCCTCTTATATCCACAATAACACTAAATTGATTATCCATCAGAAGGTTATCCTATTGACTTAAAATATCTTTTAAGTTGGTTTTCATGAAAAGTACTGAGCTAAATAAATTGCATTCTAATGAATGACAGTAAATACTTTTGGCTTTGCTGTGGAAGGCGTTTGACAGTATGAACAGGAGAATATTATGGAAACTTCTTTGACACTATGGAGTCAGTTCCTGAGAAGATTGTCAACATTATCCAGAACTCATACGACGGACTACAGTGCAAAGTCGTGCATGGAGGACAGATGACGGATGCATTTCCAGTGAGGACCGGAATCAAACAAGGCTGTCTACTCTCCCCCTTTCTATTTCTTCTGGTGATTGACAGGATTATGAAGACCTCGACATCTGAGGGGAAGCACGGAATACAATGGACAGATCAGAATCAATTAGACGATTTGGACTTCCTAGATGACCTTGCTCTCCTATCCCATACACACGAATAAATACAGTAGAAGACGACTAGTGTAGCAGCAGTCTTTGTATCAGTAGGCCTCAACATGCACAAAGGAAAAAGAAAGACCCTCAAACACAACACAGGGAACACCAACATAATCAAACTTGATATAGAAACCCTAGAAAATGTGGAATCGCTCGCATACCTAGGAAGCATCATTGATAAACAAGGAGGATCTGATGCAGATGTAAAGGCAAGGATTTGCAAATCAAGGGTAGCATTCCTACAATTGAAGAACATATAGATCTCGAAACAATTGTCAACCAACATCAAAGTCACAATATTCAATAAGAACGTCAAGACAGTTACACTGTATGGAGCTGAAACTTAGAGAACCACTACAACCATCATCAAAAGTGTACAAGTATTTCTAAATAGTTGTCTACACAAGATACTCAATGTCCATTGTTAACCGGATACCATCAGGAACAGCCTACTGTGGGAGAGGACAAACGAACTTCCAGTTGAATTAGGAAAAGACTTTGGAATTCGATAGGATATACACTGAGGAAATAATCAAACTGCAATACGAATCGAGCGCCAACTTGGAATGCTGAAGGAAAACAGAAAAGAGGAAAGTCAAAGAACACAATACGTCGGGAAATAGAAGCGGAAGTGAAAACGATGAACAACAACCGGAAACAACTGGAGAGGATTGTCCAGAACAGGGTTGGATGGAGAATGGTGGTGGACGGCCTATGCTCCTCCATGAGGGGTAACAGGCGTAAGGAAGTGGAAATCCTTATATTGATTGCAAATAAATCATCACCGACAGGAAAGTCTCCCAATTTTGCCACAGGTTCGTTACCTAAAGCCAGTGCGTTGCTTTTAGATAAGAAATATAACAATCGACAATACTGATTTCACATAGTTATAGCTGTTTTACTCCATTTATGTTTGCAAATGGTCTGGAATTGAAATCCTGATCAGGAAATTTGAAATGGTTTAGATGTATCATAAAAGAATTGTAGAATAGATGAGACTTCTATAAAGCCTTTGAAAAAATCATTTTCTAAATAATAAGATTCAAAAAGCTCCACCGTATGAATAAGAAGTGTAGGATTTAGAAGCTAGATCTTTAGGCCCTAAACTATTGAACTGCTAACATAAATATCACTGTTTTAACCTGATAAACCTGAAAATTTATTTTGGATCTACATAAAGATTCCTGTGAGAATTTCATAAAAAGATTTCATATTTTCGTCATATTTCACTTAAAATCAAGAGAATTAGAATCAACTGCTCGAAGAAATTTTGGTGTTTTATTGGCGTCTGGAACTGCAAAACTTGGACTGACTACTCCAATGTGTTCAAAATTTGATGACATCATTAATAAAACTGTGAAAGAGGTGAGGTATTCAGTAAATTTATTATAATGATTAGGTGATACTGCAGATAAATGATAATGTCTTTTTTTTAAAAATCCTTGTTCATATAAATACCCCAAGTGCTCATCAGTACATGTATGTGGTTATATGATCCGAGATATAAGCTAACTCACAATGAATGTGCTGTAATGAAGAAAAGAGATTATTTAATGTTATATATAAATCTCTAATGAACAGTAAAACAATTTTGAATTAAGTAGTTAGTAGAAAAATTATTTTTAAAATTACATTACAGTACAAAA